TGTTGCCAGGCGCCAGGCTGCAGTGCAGTGGCACGATCTCAGCTCATGGCAGCCTCCTCCTCCCAGGTTCAAGCAATTCTCCTGCCTCAGCCTCCCGGGTAGCTGGGACTACAGGTGCACGCCACCACGCCCAGCTAATTGTTTTTTGTAGTTTTAGTAGAGACGGGGTTTCACCATGTTGGCCAGGATGGTCTTGATCTCCTGACCTCGTGATCTGCCCGCCTTGGCCTCCCAAAGTGCTGAGATTACAGGCTTGAGCCACCGCGCCTGGCCCCAGAGCCACATTTTTATTCATTTTACTTTCTATTTATCATCTAACCCCACGTCACATAACGGCAGTATTAGTCATATCTTTGAATTCTCCAAATACTCATTATAATGATAACTCTGGGAAAATGCAGAGTTTTAATTTGGAACTGGTAGCACACGTGGTGATTGGTCCTCTCCCCCGTTCTTTTTTTTTTTTTGAGATGGAGTTTCATTCTTGTTGCCCAGGCTGGAGTACAATGGCACAATCTTGGCTCACCGCAACCTCCACCTCCTGGGTTCAAGTGATTCTCCTGCCTCAGCCTCCTGAGTAGCTGGGATTATAGGTGTATGCCACCATGCCCGGCTAATTTTGTATTTTTAGTAGAGATGGGTTTCTTCATGTTGGCCAAGCTGGTCTCCGAACTCCTGCCCTCAGGTGATCTGCCCACCTCCGCATCCCAAAGTGCTGGGATTACGGGCATGAGCCACCACGCCTGGCCAGGTCCTCCCCTTCTTATACCTGTGAAGCAGCAGAAGTGAGAATTCCCCCATCTGTAGATCATTAATAGTTTCTGTGGCTTGGAGCTGGGACTTCTGCAGAATGGAGTCTTCTGGATCCTGGCACATGATCAGTGGAATCAGAGCTTTAGGGGAGCTTGTAAGGAACTAGGATATGGGAAAGACGGAATAGATTTGAGATAGTGAGAGTTGAGATTACTTTATTCTCTCTACTATGTTTCATTTCACTTTTTCCTCTCAGTACATTTACATGTGCATTCATGGACTCAACACATACATTGTCTCTCACCATTTTTGTTCCTCTCTACTATAGACTGGTAGTTACTTGAAGAGTTTCCTGATGGGAGGATGGATTATAGATTACAGACAGCATCTCTGTTCTCTGTCTCTCTGCTGTTTTGTTTAGTTTCTGAGTAAAGCAGGGGACCATCAGGAATGGCAGCCAGGAGCTAGATTGTGGTGGTGCTCGTGTAGGGTGAGGGACATGTCAGGTCTAGTTTGCCTGCAAGAAAGGGTGGCTTTTTCTTTTTCCTGCTGTGAATGTTGCTCTGAGAGTAAACCTTACTTTGTTTCAAACTGTGACTAGTTCTAGATCTGGAATATGGGTCTACTTGGATTATCCTCTCTATAGTTGTTGACTTTTTCTATGGGAGTAGGACTGGCAACATTTTCATGTCTGAGAGGCAGCATGGTGATGTGGGCAGAGATAAAGGCTTGGTGTAAAGAGAGACCCACAAAGAGAGGTGAGACCTGGTTAGGAGAGACAAGGGAAGGCTTCACTTCACTCTCTGCTACCTGTTAGCTATGTGGCCTTGTCAGGTTCCTTAGTGCTTTTCTGAGCCTAAGTTTCCTCATCTGTAAAATGTGAATAGCAGTACTACCTAGCTTTCATGGATGTTAGGATTAAGGATGATGTATAGAACATAGAACTGGTCATATAGTAGGTGATTAATATAATTATTATATAATGATAGAGACTAAAGTTTGAAGAGTTTGTTGAAACTAAAGAGACTGTTAAGGCAGAAAATATTTGTTGATTGGGTAAATAATGATACAAAAATCTATGTTGCTATACTGTGGAAATGGTTTTAATCCAAGTGACTTTAAGGTGAACTTGAATTTTTTTTTTAACTTTCTCCTATTTGTTGATTGGGTAAATAATGATACAAAAATCTTTGTTGCTATACTGTGGAAATGGTTTTAATCCAAGTGACTTTAAGGTGAACTTGAATTTTTTTTTTAACTTTCTCCATAATGCTTTGCAAACATTTAATTTCAGAGACTTCAGGAGATCGGGAAGAGTGGACTCCCACCTGGGGTGGCCCCTCTCTCTTGGGTTGTCTTGCACTAAAGAAGTGTTGCGGGGTGGCTGGCAAGATGACCAAATAGGAACAGCTCCATCTGTAGCTTCCAGCAAGATCAATGCAGAAGGCGGGTGATTTCTGCATTTCCAACTGAGATACCTATCTCATCTCACTGAGACTGGTTAGACAGTGGGAGCAGCCCACGGAGGGCGAGCCAAAGCAGGGTGGGGCGTTGCCTCACCTGGGAAGCTCAAGGAGTCAGGGAACTCCCTCCCCTACCCAAGGGAAGCCATGAGGGACTGAGCCGGGAGGAACAGTGCACTCCGGCCCAGATGCTATGCTTTTCCCACAGTCTTTCAACCTGCAGACCAGGAGATTCCCTCCGGTGTCTACACCATGAGGGCCCTGGGTTTCAAGTACAAAACTGGGTGGCCATTTGGGCAGACATTGAGCTAGCTGCAGGAGTTTTTTTTCATACCTTAGTGGTGCCTGGAATGCCAGCAAGACAGAACTTCACTCCCCTGGAAAGGGGGTTGAAGCCAGGGAGCCAAGTGTTCTAGCTCAGTGCATCCCACCCCAAAGGAACCCAGCAAGCTAAGAGCCACTGGCTTGAAATTCTTGCTGCCAGCACAGCAGTCTGAAGTCGACCTGGGAAGCTCAAGCTTGGTGGGGGGAGGGGCATCTGCTATTACTGAGGATTGAGTAGGTGGTTTTCCCTTCACAGTGTAAACAAAGCCTCCAGGAAGTTTGAACTGGGCAGAGCCCACCACAGCTCCTCAAAACTGCTGTAGCCAGACTGCCTCTCTAGATTCCTCTCTCTGGGCATGGAATCTCTGAAAGAAAGGCAGCAGCCCCAGTCAGGGGCTTATAGCTCAAACTCTCATCTCCCTGGGACAGAACACCTAGCGGAAGGGTTGGCTGTGGCTACAGCTTCAGCAGACTTAAGTGTTCCTGCCTGCTGGCTCTGAAGAGAGCAGTGGATCTCCCAGTACAGTGCTCAAGCTCTGCTAAGGGACAGACTGCCTCCTCAAGTGGGTCCCTGACCACCATGCCTCCTGACTAGGGGACACCTCTCAGCAGAGGTCAACAGACATTTCATACGGGAGAGCTCCAGCTGGCACCTAGTGGGTGCCCATCTGGGATGAAGCGTCCAGACAAAGGAACAGGCAGCAGTTTTTGCTGTTCGGGGCCTCCCTGGTGATACACAGGCAAACAGGGTCTAGAGTGGACCTCCAGCAAACTCCAGCAGATCTGCAACAGAAGGGCCTGTTAGAAGGAAAAATAAAAAACAGAAAGGAAGAGCATCAACATCAACAAAAAGGACATCCACACAGAAACCCATCCGAAGGTGATCAACATCAAAGACCATAGATAGACAAATCCACAAGGATGAGGAAAAACCAGTGGAAAAAGGCTGAAAATTCCAAAAACCAGAATGCCTTTTCTCCTCTAAAGGATCGCAGCTCCTCGCCAGTAAGGGAAGAAAACTGGATGGAGAATGAGTTTGATAAGTTGACAGAAGTAGTCTTCAGAAGGTGGGTAATAACAAACTTCTCCGAGCTAAAGGAGCATATTCTAACCCAATGCAATTAAGCTAAGAACCTTGAAAAAAGCTTAGAGGAATTGCTAACTAGAATAACTAGTTTATAGAAGAACATAAATGACCTGGTG